TTTTTTTTTTTGACAAATTCTGACTCTCCTGAGCTGACTTTGGTGTATTTTTTACATACTGCCGAAGAAAAATCCTGGCTGAATTCGGCGCCTCTCCGCTGAATTTTTTGCGTTTTTTGTTAAATGAACAGCTTCTTCGCTACCATGAAAGACAAAAGAAGGCTTCTTTTAATACACATTGATGTTTGCTACAAATACTTCCAAGATGCATTTCATTTTAGAGATTATTTGCCACTATTAGGCTTGTAACCTTCTAATTTAGACACTGCTGAATTCCGTGGACGTAATTGTCCAGTGGACATTTGGCAGTTTTTCACAGACTTGAGCCTTCCAGAAGTTCTTGGTGCTGTTTTGTCAAAATTCTGTGTTTTGGCGTCTTTAATCTTGTGTTTCCTAATTTTGTTTTGACATTGCAGCTAGAAGCTTGCGATGATTTGGATAACGAAATCGATGAAATTCTGGCGGAATTTGAGCAGAATAATAGTAGACGAAATATCCTGCATACGATTTGTTTTTATTGAGAATACGACAGCATCTCATCAGTGGCTTTCTTTTTTCTCCTGGTTGCTGATTGTTCTGTTTGTGCCAATTGGCTTATTTTTTAACATTTTCTAAAGTGGCATCTGGATTCTTAAAAAAATTTTCTGCCGAAATGTAGAATCGGCACATAACAGTTTGAGCGATTGGCCGCTTATATTTGTTTGGAATTAAGGGACTGCTATTTCTGTTGTTTAGTTTCTTTGGGGATTTCGGTCCTCCAAAAATCCACGAACGAAAGTCTGTTTTTTTTTTTTTACGTCTTTCACTGAGAGAAATAGGAAGCAGTAATGAAGGGTGGGAGAAAGCAGTCAGGAACATCTATTAAAAAATGTGTATGTAACAAAATTTCCTTTACGCCCACAGTTATTTGCTTTTCAGCTGCTAAATTTACTGAAAATGTGGCATATTCTGTTAAATGTTTTAATTTTAAAAATGCACCTGCTTTTACTAAAATGCTTCCTTAATTTATACTCTCTGTAGAATTTGCCTGAAAAGTCCCGTTTTTTAGTGTTGAAGTATGGAACATTTCAGGAAACTACGTCATATCTCCCATTTATTGTCTTTTCTGGCATTTTATTTTTGCCCAAAACCATATTATCTTTAAGAAAGTTGATTTAAAAAAAAAGTCGTTTTTCAAGAATTGTGACAATTTTTTTAAAGTTACTATTAGCGTGCGGTTTTTTTCAGAACCATTCATTTTTCGGAAAATGCGCCAATTGGGAAATGGGGAAATGGATGGATTGTTCATGGTTGACGTGGTTAAAGGAACTTTTACTTATTGCTGTTTCTTGAAATCCAGCTGTAAAATTATGCATGGGGATACCAAGACTGCCCGGACACGGGAATTCATATGAAATGTGCGAGAACGGGATGATTCCAAACCACTGCTAATTTCACACTTTGTTAAGTTGAATTTTTAGTAAACTTGTGATATAATTTTCTTTTTTTTTGTGTGTATTCTTTTTTATGAAATTAACTATTTAAGCCGTTAGCTGCAAGAAGCTCTTCCTTATCAGTGGAGCATGAATGCCTTATCAAAATGTTTCATTGTTTGCTTCTATTCAGAACGTGTTCTCGTGCAGTTAGCTGTTTTGGCGATAGGTTGTTGTGATTTTGCTCTTCTCAACTTATTGTTGAAGTTTCCTGAACGATTTTACACATTTTGCCACACTACGGCACTTCAATTTTCGGGTCTTGTTGGCTTTAGCTGTGTTTTTTTATTTTTGCCCTTCAGTTATCTTCTCGAGAAATAAATCCAAGCATTAACCGTACTTCATACTTTCTATCGTTTTCTGCACGAAATGAAATGAATCCACTAACAGTGGTGCATCCACTAAACAGCTGATCAATGTTTTCCACAATTTTGATAAATCCTCGGAATCCTTACGAACCACCTTCGCTGTGTTGTTATCTGGACCGTGCACCCTTCGCTTATGTTCCAACATCAGACCACCGCAGAACAACACAAAGCCACTGGTTAAACGACCCATAGATCGAATTAAATTACTATTGATTTAAGGGTGCCAAAGTCGTGCACATTGGAACTGGAGAGCTTAGAAATCGTGTATCAAGCGATGCAACGCTTGCTGTTGGCAAGCTACCGTCACTGGCGTCTTTGCAGCGAACTTATGCTTGTGCTGGAATTCTGGGTGTGAAATCCAAACAGACAGATTGGGAGTTCTTTGAGCTTCTATGAATTGTAGCTGTCGGAATCCACATTGACTTAGTTGTGCATCACGTGTACACACATATATAGGTATACAGAAACACGCACACACACACACACACGTGCATGGAGTCGTGATAATATGTGTTTTGTGCAACTATTACAGCATGAAACGCACGAAAATGCTACTCACAGTTTATGCACGGGTGCACGCAACTGTCCGGGTATTTCAAGTCAACAATTAAATAAGATTTTGCCAGTGTGTCCCCCAGCCAAGTGCCACTCCAGGACCGCGGTACCAACCATTGCGCACATCTAGGTCCAGCACACGAGCACGTGAAGATCTTGGCGGGAAAATCGCCAACTCGGAACCAGTGGAGCTGGAAGGCTGAAGTTTAAACGGGATGCTCCTTGTCCAAGTACCACGTAGCTGCATAATTAACTTCCTGAACTTCGAGGACCTATAAGTTACAAATTCTAGCTGCAAGGATTCCAAATGATCTTACTACAGCACGAAATGCTGCAAAAACGCATGATCGCACGTATCTGCCTGGTGCTTGTTGCCAATGATTGCGTTTACGTGTGTGTTTGTTTGTC